ATTTTATAAAAAAAATAGAGTTGATTTTTAATAATTTGTTTTGCTGTCAGTTTCTTCCATAAGGCCTGTCTGTAGCTTCAAGAGAAACTAAAAATTCACATAAAATGACGCACAAAAACTGGAAAAGAAATTTTCTTATATCAAAATTTGCAGCTCTTAAGAAAAAAAAAATGCTCGTATATTTATTTCTTCGAGAAAATTTACATCAATACATACATGATGACACCGTCAGCTAAAAAATTACTAAAATCAACGCTTCTTTTAATGTTGTTAACGAAGGGATATTCTGCCGAAATCCGCAATAAATTCCGCGTTTTACTAACTTTAGTCTTACAATTGTCAATCTTGCCGCACAAATATTATTTCTGGATAGGTATTCTATAGGAATCCGCAATAAAATTAAAATTTTTGCAAAAACCCCATTATTAACACCTTCCTAAATATATCTCATCAAAGTTTTCGGAAACAAAATACAAAAAATTTTTTACTCTCACAAAAACCATCTCGTCATAAAAAAAAATATTTTAAAAATAGTCATTGAGAAACGCTAATTTTTTTGAAACACGTTTTTTGTAGAGAATTAAACAAGGATTACGATGGTGTCATTTTAAATCCCTAATTTACTGGTCTGTACTATGCAAATCTACTTCAAAAAGTTCAACTGTTTATAGCTAAGTCAGCTTTAGGATAATCATGACCATCTCATATAGAGAAATGTTAAGCCCGTTTCTTTAGCTTTAAAACGACGTTAAGATGAAGTCTCTAAGATGAGCAGAACCCGAGAAATAACAAACAGAATCTCGAAAAAATCCAAAATTTGACAAATCATACCTCCGAAGAAAAAACGGGAACACTGTACTTGTTTATTTTTGAATCTCAAATTTACAACTTCAAATCGATATATGTATGTAGAAAGGAAATTGGAACCAACCAAATCGTCACCAGAAATGCAAAAAGACAAAAGTCGTAACCAATAAAAAATTCAAAATTCAATTGATTGATTGATGAATGATGGATTTCATCGAATTACAACTCGCACATCATTTTATGAAAAAAAAAAATAAAAAATAATAGTCACGATTTTTTTCATTTCATTTACGATGTTGTTACGTCTTTTTGCATTTCAGGTGACGAAATGCTTTCGTATTTATTCATATTTTGACCTCTTTTAATGAATGCAATTGGTCTCATTCCCATCACTTTTTGAGTATTGCACTGTGTTTGAAGTAAAAGGTATGAAATTTTAAGAAAAAGCAATTGCGTAAATTTTATTCATAGGGCGCATTGTAATAGACTTCCATTTGGGAACCGGTTTTTTTTTTATCCACATATTTTTAAGGAAACTTGCTGAACGCCGTTTACATAGGTCACGTGTCGCTAGGTATGGTGATCCTCGGATACGAAGTCGGGACCTAATAAGACCTTCGAAGTGACACAATTTGCTCTGCTGTTTCCTGTTTTTTGTGGCATAACCTGCACTGCTCACCACAAAGTTCTTCACTACTTTAAAGAGGCGAGCGTTTAATAAATGTGATTGTTTTCACAAAAAAATAAGCACTATTTTCTTGGAAATTTCGGATCACTAAACTTCATTCGTCGTTTTTAACGAAGGCATCAACGATTAAAACTAATTTATATGCCAATCACATGGAAATCTACATAGCACACAAAACTACCAATTTCTCCAATAATTTGCAGTCAAGTGCCGAAAACGAAAATTTCTACATACAACAAAAAAAAAACAACAAAGTAAAATATTATTAATTGATGCCAGAAGATAAAAGATACATTTAACCACATCATGCAATGGGTGCGCTTAAAACAAGCACATGCGTTTCGACTAAGTACTTAAGTAAAACCGCATAAGTATGCGCGCACACATTGAAAGTGAAAGATAACGAAGCGGGGAAAGGGATTTTTTTTTTTATGATCGGCAAAGATCGCCGAGAATTGTAAAAGAAACTGTGTAATAACGATCAGCAATCGTATAAATGGCAATTGAAGTGAATTGAGCTGTGAGGAAATACTCGTTTATTTTTTCTTGGTTTTGAAGAGCATAAATAGTTTTTGGTGATTTGCGTTCAACTATACAGCAAAACGTATGGTGAAGAATACTTAAATGAAAGAATATATATAAAATGAGTTGTACAACGCAGCACGCCAACGCACGCAAGTACATATGTAGTACAAAACTCATCGAGAGTTCAAAACATATATCCCTAATTTATGCTTTAGATGCTTTGCGAGATATGAAGTCGACCAGATATGCAGACATTCCAAACCAATTCTATTCAATTTGTTATTTCTTTTTTTTTTTGTTTTGTTATTTTTTTTTTTTTTTTTTGCTTATTGTTTCGAGCAGCTAATACGATTACATAGTGAATACTGAGTATGGAGCGCGCTCCGGGCGTAAAACATTTAGCATTTGTGTCGTACGTGCCTCAGCCTGTTCCTGGATGCCATCCAATTTTCTAAAACCGTGTGCTACCTTTTTCTCGCTACTCGCACTCTGTTACCTAGCTGAGAATCATAAGTGTGCAAGTATATATGCGCATACATACATATATATTTAACTATATTCTTTTCAGCTCCTCACGTCTCATCTCGGCTTTGCTTGATTTTTTTTTTTATTTTTTTATTTACTTAGTTTAGTTTAAGTCACTTAAGTTATGCGGAGCATTGCTTCGTCTGCGCGACTATAATTTTTAATCGCACAACTTTTATAGCAATAACAGCAACAACAAAAACAACAATATATGTACATACATATATAGAAATAAAATTAACGTCAACAATAACATTCACGATAGGTAGGAACGTGATCTTGGCGTATATCAACAGCATTAAACGACACTGGAACTCAACCGATGTACATAGATGATATTGTGCGCTATACGTTCTTACACTGTTCACTTATGTATGTATGTGTGTAGACAATCAAGCGAAACAACAAAAAAAAAAAAACAATAAGAAAGTAATACACAAAAGTACAGAAATAATAGTGAAATGATTCAAATCACAAAACGCATGCGCACATCACATACTTTAAGGAGTAGCGACAGAGGTAAGGCAGCTGGAAAAGTGGTGTAACTAAAGTGAAGAAGTATGCTGCTTTGAGGCCAACTATTGTTAAAAACATGCGCCTAAAAACTTAGAGGACAGCACAAATTTCTTCAAAAAGGAGGAATGAATGAATTAGTACAAAATTGAAGCACTTCAAATATGTAAATTACCAATGGAAAAGGAAATGCAGGATCGCAAGATTAGTTCTAAGTGGATTTAAAGGTCCACAACAACAACTACATATCAATAATATTCTGAGATAGTAGAAGTGTTTAACAGAAGGAAACGGCTGAAGCTAAAATAACTCTAAAAAAAAAATGCAGCAAAATTAAAAAATTTTTTAAATTAAAATCTATTGAAGTGTTTAGTAAACAAAAGTGGTGGTAAGAAAAAAAAATTTAAATACAAACACACTTGGAGTCACAGCAATACAAGAACGGTTATGAGTGCGTGACTTTTACAAAAAAATCCAAATACAAACTAGTGCAATGGCATATGACTACTTACTAGATGCTATACATAGCAGTGCCCCACAAGTGCTGCTGCTATGTTTTCAGTCTTGCCTTTAAGTAAACACAAATATTTAAATATGTATGCAGATATACAGACATGATTTGATGCATTTTCCCCTATTCCTCTGGCACTCGTAGTTAATTTTTTCTACGTCATCATCAAAGTCAGCACAATAGCTGTCGTGAAAAAATATTTTTAAATGCATGAAAAAATAAATATCTACATATGTACTTGTAATAGGAAAGCAAATGAAAACAATGACAAAACATCGGGCAGTATTTATATTTGTAATGATTGCGTTTCACCCTCTTTTGAACTCATTGGATATCACACTTAATCATAAATCGATCGGTGGTATTTCTTGCCGAAAAGAATCTACTTCAAAAAATTCGACGGAATAAAAAATCTACACTGGTTGGTTTGATTAAAATATAATCAATTAATTTTGATTCAAAATATGCATTTCAATGATGAATTTCCCTTAAAATTGTATTTCTTAGCAGAAGAAAAAGTCGGAGTTCTAAAAATTAATAAAAATATCTCAGAAAACTTTTCAACAACACCCTATTTCAGAATTCGGTTCAAAAACGCTTTATATCAGCACATTTTCATTTGAGATAGAGCGTTTATGAACCGAATTCTGAGATAGCGCGTTTTTCAACCAAACCAAAACCAAAGTTGCAAAATATTTCGGCAAAAATATTGAGATTTGCGTGAGCTATACAGATTTGAAAATACCTCCAAAAATCTCATTCTTCTGGTCCCGTTGATAAAATCTTTTTACATTTTCAAACCTTTCCATATCTGATGTGATTTTTTTAGGAAAAAAATTTTTTAAACTACATAATTTTAAGGTAAATCTTAATGTTTTTCCGAAACATTTTAGCGGAAGTCTTAAAATATAATGCATTTTATATTTCCGATTAAAAAAGAGTTCCGACTTTTTTATGGCGAGTGATGGACCCTAATGTACATACATGTCGAGCCCCAACCACTAAAAAGATGTAAGCGACAGTTTTTTTTTCAACATTTTGTTTCTACTACTACTCTAGGAACATTTCTGCATCAAATGTTGCTTACGTCTTTTTGGCGGTTAGGGCTCGATATTCTCCTAATCAGTAAATAAGGCTCTGATAAACAAATTTAGGAAATACATTTTTTTCAATAATCTCTCAGATATAACGAGATTAATATTGAAATCTTAAAATATTCGTGGCATGTAGGTATCCTTAGAACAGCTCTGAAAGCACTTCTTTTCAAAATTGTTTGCTTCCAGTCAGTTCAGGCTTTTTTTGTATGGATAATAACAACTTAATATAGCTTTAAGTATTTTTTTTTAAATCGTATTTTTTAAACTTAAAATTTTTTTTAGATAAGCAGTTAAATTAATTAAATACTGATGGCATTATTTTTTTTCTTTTCAGGTAAGGAAGCCATCGTAATATTTCTATACTACTTCATTCTCGCTGATAATGGCTTGCGTAAGTAGAAAACTGCCTTGTTATACATATCTGCTCTTGAAAAAACACTAATCCCTACGAAAGATTTTTATGGTAGTCAATGAAATAGAAACCTTGGTACTGAAGTTAGTATTTGGTACAGAGAGGGCTCGAAACATCAAGAGAGTAAAACTAGAGCTTGTATGTAAGTTTGAGACGAACTTAAAAATCGGTTGATATCTTGAAGAGCAATTTTTTCAAAGAACATGTACATTAATTCGGACAGTCAGACCATCTTATTAGCTCTTAAGTACCACTAAATACATTGCTTTTGTACCCAAAGCACTCTCTGAGATAAGAACACATTAGTACCAGGCTGAATACTAAGGCGCGAGAGTCATGATGATCAACTGATGGCTTAGCTAAATAAGACACTACCTCAGTGTTCCATGGTCCGGAGCCCTGTTGTTAATTACCCAAACATACACATGAGAGTTGTTATAAAGTTCAATAGACTCTGGATCGAATCAAATCATGTAAGTGGTGTATCTGTCTATTTGACCATCATGCGACGTATCTCTCTAGGCATTTCATGGCTCCGCTATCAACTCATTAAAACTCAAAACAGACGTTATGAGCTGGACGAAGAAACTTCTCAGAACATATTCCCAGCGAATGTTTTACCGCCTTTCCTATGGAAACTTGGAACAAAAATCGCGTGGAAATGCTAGACTATATTTAAAACTTTCATACATACTTACATTTATGGCACAGACCACGTCAGAGTGCGCGGCTCACTTTGGGCCCAAGAACATACATACATACATATATACAACGGCTAACAAAGTACGCCTAAATACGCATGTTTGCAAGAAATGTAGCACAATCAATTTTGCAGTTAAAAAATGGGAAAAACAAATATAAGAGCACGCATATTAATGGCGGTAATAGTGTAAAAAAGAGTTCTTTCGTTTCTGTGTATGTACATAAATATGTACATGAATTTGTTACTTCTTCATGTGTTGCATGTTTGCTCGGCTCATTGTCGATCAATTTGATCTCAGATTGTCTGCCACATTATTCAAATCATCAATAAGAGCTGTGTACGTATTTTTTTCTTACGCTGCGACTATTTCTGCCGAGATCTACAAAGAATATGGACTGACTGACGCCAATTACAATTACAACTACGCATTTCATCATTCTTTCGTCTTTCTAGCTCTATTCCCTACTTCAATTTATATCCACGCGTTACACATTTATCTGTGCGATAATTTGTCATTTAACCCAGTTTAGTAGTTTGGATACGTACTCAAAATGCCCAGCTATCGACCGACGATTATCGGAGTGGAGTGGAATGGAGTGAAGATTCTGATCTGGAGAATTGAGGGTGGTGGAAGCGTGAATTTAGTTTTAGATTTTGCGAGGGCGTGTTTGATATATCTACTATACATATGTAGATACATTCTTATATACACCCAGTGGGAATTAGGAGCACGTAATAATACCTTATTAGCAACTTACTCTTCACCTGGCAGTCATTACCATTTCCCTGCCGAACGTCCCTTACTTTTACAAAGGCATGGCCGCCTTATGTAAGTAGGAATTTAGAATGTACATTTGGTATCAGACATACTTCTGAGCCGCTATACAAAGTAAGTTACGTGTAATGCAGAGCAGTCGCTCGGAGTAGTTCGGTGCTTGGAAATAACTTCGGCTGCACGTTATTTTGCAACTGACAACGTAATGTGTCTTCGGAGGTGTTCATTTTGCCCTTTACTAGTAGATGACATTAGCCATGATGACAATTTTGGTACTAAAAACTGAAAGAAAACATGGCTTACCTCGCAAGGTGCTTACCTATTTTCCCAGTGGGCAAGTATGATTGTACACTTCATAAATATGTATGCGTGTACATATGTATGTACAGTGCCGGTAAAAAATAGCACCTCAAAGTTTGAATTTCTAGCCACTTCAAACTCGCCCACCTGTAAAACTCGAATACTTTAGTTGTTGGGTAAGATGCTGCAATAAACATTTACCACTGTGATTCATAGCATCTTTGACAAGATTTTCACATTTCCTGCCCTCCGTCGAAAGCTGTAAAGAGCTAAAATCATTTAAGTAACGAAATTTTGTTACTAAGCTTACTGAGAATATTGTGCTTCGAGTAATCTAGAAAGCGGGGTAGGAGGGGTGGTGGGTGTTCTCAGCCCAGCTGAGGCTTGAAAAATCATTTCGCCTACTCTTCGCCTTGTAGCGTCTTACATACAGGAGCGCTTGACTCGTTCACATACAGTTAAAAAATCGTATCGGACTACTACAGATCTCTAAACAATAAGGCTGAGTAGTCTGATCTTCACTTGGTATAGATGCCAGTGCACCCACCGGAACATACCAGGCAACGAGAAGATGGACGAACTTGCAAGAGAGTGCAAAAGTGGTTTTGCAATCCTGGAAAGTTTAGGCATGTCTCTCGCTGCCTGCAAGCTCATTCTAAGCGATCTCTTAAACTATGTAGCAAGTGACAGTTGAGCTAGGCTCACTACTTGGAGCAATACGAAACTTATGTGGCCAAAATGGAAGGAGAAACGGTCGAAGAGTTTCCTTATGCTTAGCAGAGGGAACTTAGGCACAGCCATGGGCTTGGTAAAATACCATTTTGCTATCGGAAAGCGCGCGGAGAGGCTAGCGGTTCCGGATAACGACTTCTGCAGAAGCTGCGCCAGAATTCAGCATTTGTCGAAGGTTTAATCGACATAGCCGAAGTAGGAATACGGTAACTTTTGGCTTTCGCAGACTTCAGACGACGGTTTGAGTAGGAGAGTTCTAAAAAACTGGACAAAATGTTGCTGTGCTATTATTTTGAGCGCAAGTGTAAGTAGCATTAAACGCGTAGCATTGATGAACGGAGTAGCACTCGTGCGTATTTTTTCGCTTCTTTTCGCCTTTAGAGCACACAATAAGATCGCGTACAAAGATATTAATTCTAGTACAATTTTAAATTAAGTAAGCGCCAATAAGTAAGCGCTTTCATGCTTATGTTTCCTTTGTATGTATGTATGTTTATGAAGTACTCTTTCTAAGTGAGTGCGCTATTCATGCGTACATTCGCCCCAGAGCGAACTATCGATCGATCTTTTCTTTTATTTTTATTTTTTTTTTGTTTTTGTCGTGCCACATATCTAACTAAGCATCTATGCATATATATGTATTTAACATAACTACATATCCAGATGTACTCGCACGCTCATACAAATGCGCGCGATCTAAGCGCCCAACTTTCTATCTGGCTCTTTGTTCTATTCATCACTGCTAAAATACTATGCGTACGCTTAGTTATTTTTTTTTTTTTATTTTAAAAGCTATGTCGCGAGCGTTTGTAGGCGTACGCTTGCGTTTTTCACTCAATCCTTTGTATGCCTTCGCCTATACTTTTGGTTTTTTTTGCTGGTTGGCTTGCCTGCTAACTTCTCTCGTTCTGCTGTCGCAATTAATGTCGATCGAGTTCCATTGAAGTTTCACGTCTCTTAAGTAATAATAATGTAGCAGTTGATTTGCGACTTATTCGCTTATAAGCGAGCTTCTAGCCACTAGAGCGCGGGCTGACGGAGCGATTGAAAGGGGGGGCGGCGGACTGCTGAGTGCTGTTCACAATGAAAGTGGCAATTGGCAATAGATGTCTGCATGTATGTAGGTAAATATGTATGTAAATATGTGTGTACATAAGTTAGTTAGTTGGTTCTTGACTGCGTTGGCTGTGGCAATTCGGGTCACTAACCGTTAACAATAAAATTCATTTACTAAACAAAAATACGAGTGAGTACAAGCATTGCGCGCAAGTACTTAAGTTTCATATGAGCTGCTTTTGTTGCCTTTTTCACTTTTTCACTTTTTTCACTTTGAGCTGACTGACGTTCAACCCGCTATTTCGCCAACGCGCGCAACATGCGGTTACAAAGTAGTAGTACTTACATATGTATATGCATACATACATACATATCTCTTGTTGTTCTATCACGCGCGCCACACTAGAATTCTCGGTGTTGAAATAATAATCATATCGAAATTGTAGAAATTGACAAATGATTATTCGTAATTATATTATGTTTTGTTAGTTAGCTGTTGGCTGCTTAAAATGGTGTGGCTGTTGGCTTTTGCGATTGCGCGCGCGCGTTCAGTAGCCACTTTGAGGCGGTATGAACGCCAGCGGGCAGCAAACTTGGCGCTGCCCACTACAAGCAGGAGGCAGGCGTCGTGAGCTTGGTAAAAAACCTAACTTCTTGGTAAGTATCTGTGTGCTGTGAACTTGTGTTGCGCTGGACCATAAGACAATGACATAAGCCTGACAGTGATTACTGCCCGCAAATATATTTTTTTGATACAAAATATGGTACATAAATTTCTTAACTAAATTTTTTCTAAATGTACATAGCTCGTAGATCATAATCAACAAAAATAACCAATAAAAAATAAGCATAGCTTACAGTCATGCTCATGCTAAATGTGCTGATTTGTATAAATGTAGTGTGAACATTAGGGTGCGTCACCAAATAAATTTTCGTTTTTTTCCACCGAAGTTATAAAACTTATTACATTTTAAGACACGCACCAAAATATTTCGGAAAAATATTAAGCTTTAACTCTTCTATCCTCTGAGGTACTTTAAAAAAAAAACAAATATTAAAAAAAAAATTTTTTCACTTATAAAAACTCGATTTTGAGAGGTATTTTCAAATTAGACCAGCTCACATAAATCTTGCACCCCTATTGCGAGTGCCGACTAGCAATAGATAAACGACACTTAGTCGATTATCGACTATCCATGGTATTAGCAATGTCGATTTCTTGTTGAATAAATGAGTGTGAATAGTTTTCGGTCGCTCATCCTTCTAAAAACAAACAGTTGTAGAAGAATGAGCGACTTAAAATATTCACAGTTGCTTATTTGAACGAGAAATCGACATCCACAATACCATGGCAAAGCGATAATCGAGTAATAGTCGTGTATCTACCACTAATCGACACTCGCAAGAGGGGTG